AAAAGTAACTAAGTAACGTAATTAGTTACTTTTTTAGGGAGTAACGCAATATTGTAATGCCTTACTTTTAAAAGTAACTTTCCCCAACACTGCTTACAAATGAGGAGATCAATAGAAGCAATCAAAACCAACAAAAGAGCAATGATATGCAAGTGCTATAACAAGTCTCAGTTAGCTTAACGCAGAACACATAGCAAGGTTTTTTTTAAACATATAATAAATAAAAAGAAAACAGATAGAATAGAAAAAGAATAGAACAAGCTAGTGTTAGAGGCCTTTTTTAAATTATTTAAATTATTTTATTATTATCTTATTCTTGTTTTGGAAGCAAAATCTCAATCTTGAGCAGTGCATGACAAAGCAATGTTTTTGCCTGTACTGTCTCAGTAAAGATGTCTTACTCGAGTCTCAGTTTGCTTCACTGACCTTATGACAGCTTTGACTTCACACCGAGCACAGAAGCTGTCTCTATCGGTGTGTGTTTGGCAGGAAGTGGCAGCTCACTTCCTGCTAGCTGGCCTGTGGCCTGTGCTGACTGGTCAACTCCTCCGACTTGCGTCTCCATGAGAGAGCTGTCAGACGCCAGCAAATGTGCAGATGTCAGATGACACTAATCTACATCAACACGTGCCACAGGCTGTTAGCCGTGTTGTGAAATAATCAGTCTTAAGGTGCGTCTCAAATTGCGTACTTGTGCACTATTCTATGACGTTTTGTAGTATAAATAGTGCGAGTAGTGCGTTCACACTGAAAATTCCAAAAAGAAAAAGTGCACTTTAAATACCCGGATGATGCACTTAAATAACCGAAAAAATGAAGTGTGGAATGTTGGACACTTCATGCACTCAACTGTCACAGCTTTAATTACGTACCGAAGGGGGAGGAGCTATGAGTCTCCGATTATGAATGACAAAATAACCTTATATAATTCATACTCTACATGATTGAGTACATAGTGCATAGGTACATAGTGTATGAGTGCATAGTGTATAGTGCGTCATTTGGGACGCAGCTTTACTCATCCTTTCATACAGCCGCTGTTAGTACTAAATTAACACCATTATTGATTTGTTGCCAGAGATTTTTGCGTGTTTTAGGGTTTATCAAGTTAAATAAGGCAGAAATGAGTTTTATTGCTTTTTAAAGCAGTTATTGCTCTTTACACTTCATGGTAACTTTCATTAATGCATCACTGAAATTTTTTTTATTGAATTGGATCATAATGTGCATTCGAGTAGTTTCATATTTATTTGTAAATTAGATTGATGTTTTGGGTCATTATTTTTTTTTAAAGAAAATAATACTTTTATGCACCAAGGACGCATTAAATTGCTCAAAAGTGCCAGTAAATACATTTATAATGTTACAAAAAAATTTATTTTTCAGATAAATGCTGTTCTTTTGAACTTTCTATTCATCTGTGAATCCTGATACATATATTGGGCAGCACAACTGTTTTCAACATTGATAATAATCAGAAATGTTTCTTGAGCAGCAAATCAGTATATTAGAATGATTTCTGAAGATCATGTGACACTGAAGACTGCAGTAATGATGCTGAAAATTCAGCTTTGATCACAGGAATAAATTACATTTTAATAGATATTCACATAGAAAACAGCTGTTTTAAATAATAATAATATTTCAATTTTTTACTGTATTTTTTATCAAATAAATGCAGCCTTGATGAGCAGAAGAAACTTCTGAATCTTAGTGTGCATATGTTTAAATGTACTAATATTAAGCATTATATAGAATTTTAATGTATCAATGAAGGTTATTAAATACATGAAAGACTTTCATAATCCCTTTTACTTGTAATCTTTATCGCAACTTGACATAAAACTATAAAGCATGACCTTTTATATATTAGCAATTGATTAGGTAGTGAAGAGTGTCTCTAGGATAAAATATTACATTATTTACATTATTTATAATAACATGCACCGATGAATCATACACAATAAGACCAGGAAGACGTCAATTGGTTTCGTGTTGACTCTGTGCATTACCAGTTCTGTCTTTGTGAGATTATGCATGACACAGAAAACAGTAAATGCCAGAGCGAAAAATATATTCCTGCTGCATAATATTATATAAGACTGTGCACTTCCTTAAAGATCAGAGTCCTGCGTGTGTGACTCACAGAGAGGGGCTAATGTCAGAGCTCTGTCTTACAGCCGGGTGCCAGGTGTGCGCAGACCGGCTGGTATTTTAGTGGCATTTACCAGCAGCTTCAGCAGGCAGCTGTTCTTTCAGACGTGCACTTGAATGATTACACATGAAAACAGAAAGTAAGCAGAAAATGAGAAACAGCACAGTCTGCAAAAAGCAGCGGTGAGTCCGGTGGACGCAGATGTTCGGCTGGACATCGGTGCATGTATGTGCAGTAGAGTAGAACCGCTCAGACAAACAGTCTGGATGCTTAATAAAGAGGAAATAGATCATCCAAGAATGAAAATTCATCATTTACTCATCCTAATAGTGGTCCAAACCAGGGTTACTAACATAAAAAACAACTGCAATAAAATTAACAATTAAAAAATGTATCTTATTTTATTTCAGCTAGTTGCCAAGGCAACATTTCTCATTTTCATTTAGTTTAACTAGATGTACTAAAATAACTAAAATTAATAAAAACTCTACATAGTCACATTAAAAAGACTAGTAAAATGGCAAAAGAAAGGAGCTAAAACTACTAAAACTATAGTTAAAATGAGAGTGGAAAATATAAAAATAAAATGAATTCAAAATATTAATACAAACTATAATAGTATTTCAATTATATTCATATATATTCAATTATAATGTACCAAAATAACACCAGGGTTATTATAGTTAACTGAAATTAAAACCATAAAACCATAAAAATGTTACTTAAGATAAATAAATGTTAACTGAAATAAAATATAAAAAATTTTTTTTTTTAAATAGTAAAAATGGCAAAAAAAAAAAAAAAAAAAAAAATTTTTTTTTTTAAAAAAAAAAAAAGGAAAAAAAAAAAAAAAAAAAAAACTACAACTACATTACTAAAACTTTAACTAGAATTAAAATAAAAATGGAAGATATAAAAATAAAAGCAAATTTAAAATATTAATACAAATATAATAGTATCTCAGTTATACTGTACTAAAATAACAATGATCCAAACGAGGGTTATTATAGTTAACCAACAGAAAACAACATTTTCATTACTTCATTACTTTAAATAAATAAATGTTTATTGAAATAAAATTAAAAATACGATATTTTTTATTTAACTTTTTCATCTAATTTTCTGATGCAACATTTCTCATTTTGATTTAGTTATACATGATGTACTTAAATAACTAAAACTAAAATTGAAATAAAAATCAACAAAAAAACTGTAGACATACTAAAACTTTAACTAAAATAAAAACATTTGTATTTTCCATTTTCATTTTAAATGTAGTTAAAGTTTTAGTTTTTTTTTTGGCGGTTTTGTCATTTTTGTTATTTATTAATTAATTTTTATTTAAATTATTTAAATAAATTTATTTAAATTATTTTTTTTAAATGTCTATAGTTTTTTGTGTGTTTTTTAAAAAAAAATTTTGTTTGTTTTAGTTATTTTAGTAGATCAAGTTCAACTAAATTAAAATGATGCTTTGGCAATTAACTGA